AATAACTACGTTGTCTTGGACATCTCCCTAAAAGAAAAGTGTCCTCCTAACCTTTAAAATATAAGGTTTATTTATTTATCCGCACGCGTTTTATGGGTGTTCTGTGCGCTATTAATGATAGTTCGGCCGTCATGAACGAAGATATCCCCTATATGCTTCGGCGTGGTGCTGGCGAAGAAACTGTGACTTTCTCCGTGGTGATAGTGGACCTACGCACCATCTACCGCACTCTTTTTTGCTCCCACACCCGAATTCAGTGCTATGCGCAATTCAAGAAGACCAAAGGCGCAAGTGCTTGGTGCGGCCGGTGCCGCCTTTAGGTGTGCCACCACACCTAGCTAGGATCTTACGGAACGGGGTGTCATACAGGCCACATTAAAAATGTGCCGTTACAACCCTACTCTCAGTCCGCCAGTCGGCCACTTCACACAAACACACATTGGGCTGACTTCGAGGTTCGAATTGTCTCATCAGTTGACGGCCCTTTAAACTACCACTTTTAGCCTGTCTGATAGTTTAAAACGGCGTAAGATGTTCTATAATGAGAACTATGCGGTTTCGCTTACAGTCTGTAACAGAACGTCATTAGCTACATCAACAATAGCAAATAGACTAGGTCTTATTTAACATCAGACAGTGAACTGTAAAGGTAAACTTCACCGTGAGTAGATGAAGGTAAAGGAAAACGATCTCCGGGAAAATTCTCTCTGTTCCCTCAGCCCGAGAAATCGGGTCCGTTGACCTATCTTATCTCACCTTATTTGTCCGATCCATTTCTGGCCTAAAAGCCCTTATCTTTGGCGTGACGGCTGTGAGTTGGTTATTTCATGCGCGATTATTTACTCATTAAAAAGATTTAATGTGTCCTTTTTAGTATACTTCAGTAAATATTAGGGAGATAGGCATAGCCTTTGAAAATTATATTTGCACTTAAACGCTGGAAAAAATGCACACGAATGAACAAAAACTTTCGCGTTCCAGGTAGTTGCATGGACAAGGAAGAAGAACTGTTGAGCACCGGATCGATTTGATTATTATCCTGACCTTTCAAACTCTTACAGGAGTCCATCGTCAGAGGTAATAAATGTTATGTATTGAGAACGGAAAGCAGTTTGTAGGCAGGACGAATGTAATGTACGTAAAACAGAAGGCTGCTTGTAGGCAGAATGTCATGTAGGCAAAACAGAGGACTGTCTGAGGCAGGACGTGGAATGGGGACGAAGGCACAGTTTAAGTCGCGAGTCATGCTGACACCGCCGTGTATATGGTTTGGGGTAAATATAATAGGCCGAATGCTGGCCAACCAGAATAAGGACAGGGGTGAGCC